GTCGAGTATGTTCACTGAAACTAGTGTGTGGTTATATCTATATATCTATATATATATATATTTGAGGCAGTTACCCTGATACTTTTTTAGAACATTTAACCACACACTAGTTTCAGTGAACATACTCGACAAACCATGTCAATGAATATATTAGCAAATAAAAATTACTTCACTTTCAGTACTTTGTCTTATCCTAGTTAAATATACACATCTTTTTCATGTCGTTTTCCCTGAAAACATTTGTTCTGTAACATTATCAAAGCATTGCTGTTTGTTGAAACAGACATGTAACTTGACTAGTTTGAGTAATGGCAGATGGGAAAATTGCTTAGCAGGCTTTTTATTTATTTATTTATTTATTTTCAGAAATCTATCTAGAAACATTACTTTTGTCTGTTTGGTAGCACTAGTGGTAAAGAAATACACTTCAACTTCAACACACTAACAACATTCTACTATATAATTATTGTTACATGATTAACATAATTAAACCTTCAAATGTTTCACACAACAATAAAATGTTTCACACAATAATAAATGGTTATCCATCAAAGAAATGATAAGATCAAGGTCTTACTATACTGAACAAAATAAACCCAAATGTAAACACAAATAAAACAACTATCAGTTCACAAATTCAATTGAGCAGACATTGTCTGATCTGAAAATTTTGTTAAAAAAAAAAAAGTTTAAAAATAGTAGGTTACACATACAACTAACAACTGCAGACAACTGCTGAATAAATATAAGCAAATGTTAAAAACTTGATCCTCATTGTAGCTGCATAGCTTCAATTCATAAACTTAAGTAGTGTATTCTTTCCTCAATAGCTCTTTCACTGGCTCAGAAAAAGCAGAACTGATGCTTGATCAGTACTCAGTCATAATCAGATTTTTTTTTTATTTTTATTTTAGCATTTTAGGCTTTGTTCACACTGCATTCAAGTATAATGTTTTTTCAAATATGACCTTTTAGATCCGACTGTCTGCACTGTCATTTTGCAAGTAATCAGATGAAATCGGATCGATTTCTTCAGTGTATCTAAACTAAATGTCATCGTAATGATTTAAGTGCCTGCAAGAGACTTTCTTCAAGAAGAAGTGAGAACAGCTGTCAGTGTGAATAGAGATGATAAAAAAAACAAAACAATTAAACAAACAAAAAAAAATCTGCGTATTTTCGTTATGGCATCTCATAGTGGTGCTGAACTTAACGCAAATGAAATGAAAGTGTTTTACACACTCATGAACACACAATGTTTAAAACCAGTCAGTCATATGCTCATTCAAAAAAAAACAAAAAAATAATAATAATAAAAAAACGCTACAATCAATGTCATAGTTCACTATATGAACAAATTCAGGCACAACTGTACACATTTGTGTTGTGTCTTATACGCCATGTCGCAAATAAAAAACAAAAACTATGAAATATAATGATCTTTCAGATTCAAGTGCAATTTCAAAACTTCCAATTATTACTGTATTTCAAGTAACTAAATGGATTTGAGTTAGCAGCACCCTTACATAACCCATTTTTTTTATGCGATTGTGTCAGCAGTCATAGAGGCTCAAGTTTACACCTGGCATTAACATGTTTTGCATTCATATTGTATCTGGACATTGTTTAGCTTGACTGCATTTATGCCTTCATACCAGTCACCAGTGTGATCAGATAAACATAAATAAAAACCAAGAAATTGTACAGTGCTACAAGAGAGGTTGAGATAGAGTTACGACCTTCTGATTAAAAATGACGAAATATTTCCATTATTAAAAAAAAAAAAAAAAAAAGATGGATAATAAAAAATTTAATAAATAAAAAAAACACTAGAAAATCTGGTTTCCGTTTCCTTTCTTTTAAATGTTTCTACAATAAAGGATGTTATTAAGAATTAGACAATCTCATTGTGCCAAAAGTGTGTTTGATGACATCTGAAACAGATGAACGTGGCAACATTTTATTACCTTGGTTGTTGTACATATTGCGACAGTTCAGAAAGCTTAATGCCGTTACATATAATAAAATAACGTACCACTACACTTCAGGGTACATTACACTCTACCTTAAACCTAACTGATAATGTTAACAAAAGCATATGTGAGATAAACGCATTTGCTGTTAGTTTTTCTGCTTGGCTGCTAAGTCTTAGAACCAGGTCTTAATTAGTTTACCGTCTTAACAGCTCTAACCTAGTTATTATATTACAGTTATTTAAGTTAATTCTGCCATCGGCCACCTTGTTCTCTAAGAATCAAAGAATCCAAATCGAATTGTGTAAAGAACCACGTGAAAACTCCTCTGTAATCATAATTTGTGTAAAAAAAAAAAAAAAAATGTTCTTGGCATTTTACTGCCATTACCGTTTATTTTAGCTGGAAACTGCAGTTAATTTAATGTACAGTACTTAAAAAAAAAAATTTTTTTTTGAAGATCGTGACTGGGTTGTTTTTTTCCTTACTGAAGATATCTGCAGATGTCTGAAGATCATTGTACATTCTGGGCATATGAGTGGGCATTTGGGACTCACTGCTCCCTATACTGGTCAAGGAAACAGACAAGGAAAATGAATATGCATTTACATGTTCATTAAAGGGGGTCAAATGTCTACTCTAAACCAGACCACCACCAAACTTTTGTGGTTTGAGAGATCTTGGGTGCATTTACTTCACCTGGATTTTAATTGTTATTTGATCCTCAAAATTGTGATTTGATCCTCAAAAACAGATTAATGTCATGTGTAAAGGAGCCCTAATTAGTGTACAGTCAAGATATCCTTAAAGTAGTAAGCAACAGTACAAGCTACAAACAAAAAGCTTCTAACTACATTGAAGCTAAGAGTATGAAATTTATAAATATATAAGTTTCAATTGATATTTAATTCCGCAAATAGCAGTTTTTTTTTATCTGGCATGAAAACAAAGAGTATAATAAAATATTAAAAAATATTCACAGGGTAAAATGATTAAAACACGCCAAGTTATATAACTCACTTCTGTGCAAGCTAAATCACTTATTGCAGAGGTTTTCGACTCTGTCCTGGAGTCCCCCAACACTGCACAGTTTGAATGTGTCCCATTTCAGATCTTGGTGTCTCTACTAATGAGGTGATGACGTGAATCAGGGGGGTTTGATTAAGGAGAAATGCAAAATGTGAACGGTTGGAGAGGGCCACAGGAACAGGGTTGAAAACCACTGGCTTGTTGGATCTAAGAAATCAGAAATCATTTATTTACATGAAACATCCAAGCAAGCTGATTCACTGAGTCGAACCTCCCAACACAGTGAGTTGACAGTTGGGTTATTACCTCCTTCACTCAGCTGTACCATGGGACCAACAGCAATGTAATGTTTTGTTTTACTACACCACTAGTTAAAAAGTAGCTTGCTACCATTTTGAACAGCTGCCACTGTCACTAAAAACAGTTAGTAGTTACGCTACTTTTAGTTATTTACTTTGCAGCGCTGTTCCTAGTAAACACCTTAGGAGTTTTTATTTCCAATCAAATCTCACAGTTATGGCATTTTACTATTATTTCTTGATATTTTTTTTCGAAGATTTAAGTAACCCACGAGTAGATATTTTCTCATCTTTTTCATTTTCTGATTGATCAACTTTTTGTCCATGAGTTTTTTTATTTAAATTTGCCTCTTTTTCTTGTTTGTAATTGTTCACATTTTCTTTTTTCTCCTTTACATCTTTCTCTATTTGCCCCTTTGGTGCACTCTCTTTTATTTTGTTAAGCCTTTCTTTCTCTGCTTTCACTTTCTCCAGTCTTTGTTTTTCTGCTTTTTCTTTATTGAGTCTCTCTTTTTCTGCTTTTTCTTTGACCAGTCTTTCTTTTTCTTCTTTTTCTTTGGCCAGTCTTTCTTTTTCTTCTTTTTCTTTGGCCAGTCTTTCTTGTTCTGCTTTTTCTTTAGCGAGTCTCTCTTTTTCTGCTTTTTCTTTGGCCAGTCTTTCTTTTTCTGCTTTTTCTTTAGCGAGTCTCTCTTTTTCTGCCTTTTCTTTCTCAAGTCTTTCTTTTTCCACTTTTTCTTTAGCAAGTCTCTCTTTTTCAGCTTTTTCTTTGACCAGTCTTTCTTTTTCCAGTCTTTCTTTTTCCAATTTCTCTTTCTCCAGTCTTTCTTTTTCTGCTTTTTCTTTAGCGACTCTCTCTTTTTCTGCCTTTTCTTTGGCCAGTCTTTCCTTTTCTGCTTTCTCTTTTTCCAGTCTTTCTTTTTCTGCTTTTTCTTTAGCGACTCTCTCTTTTTCTGCCTTTTCTTTCTCAAGTCTTTCTTTTTCCGCTTTTTCTTTAGCAAGTCTCTCTTTTTCTGCCTTTTCTTTGGCCAGTCTTTCTTTTTCTGCTTTCTCTTTCTCCAGTCTTTCTTTTTCTTTAATAATTCTCTCTTCTTCTGCCTTTTCTTTGGCCAGTCTTTCTGTCTCTGCTTTCTCTTTCTCCAATCTTTCTTTTTCTGCTTTTTCTTTGGCCAGTCTTTCTTTTTCTGCTTTTTCTTTGGCCAGTCTTTCTTTTTCTGCTTTTTCTTTAGCCAGTCTTTCTTTTTCTGCTTTCTCTTTCTCCAAACTTTCTTTTTCTGCTTTTTCTTTGGTCAGTCTTTTTCTGCTTTCTCTTTCT